CTTCTGCTCACGAGAGCGGTCAAAACATCTCGCATTCAGACTGCGATGGTTTGCCTAGATCGACTCATTGCAATACTGGGAATTTATTGGTAACCCAACGTGATGCTCCGGGGCACCCCGAGCGATACACAAGAGAAGGCCTCGAACGATTCTGTACGATTACATTCGCACGTTCTCGGACCCCGTACTTTGCTCGTGTCAACGACAGTGATGTTGAACATCAGGATAGTGAGGAAACTTCCAAAAAAAATGTGTTCTTTAACCCGTATGCTCAGAGGCGACAATTGAAGATAAGAACTGTTTTTTTAGTGTTGGCTGTCGAGCCTTCCTATAATACCTCCAAGTTAGGTGCACAAATCACGCAGTGCTAATTGGATTGAAGGTAGTTCAATGCAGCCCATCCTGAGAGCTCAGTATGTGTGCACCCAGGTGAGCGACAGTCTGTGGCTCTCGGCTTGAAGACATCGCTTCAAGCTAAGATGTCTCTGGTTTCTGCACGCCTCGAGCTTTTTGGTACTGAATCTGTAGCCCACGACCATTTCTTTAAGGACTTCGTCCTACTAGAAACTTCTCTTCCAACACAGCTTCTGATTGATGCGACTGCGCTACGAGACGATGACATCAAGTGCTGTGGAGTTTGGTTGACTATGATAGATGGGGACAGCCACGAGCTCACTTCCTTCCATCCCACAACGGCACAAGTCTCAACTTCCGGGTTCAAGCCTGTGAATAGTAGTCCCGAGAAAACACTAAGTTCTGCCTACCTTTAGGATTGTCCCCCTTACCATGCTCAAAACACTGGAGCACACTCATACTACGTCAAGTGTAGCATCCCCGCAGCCAAGGATAGTCGCAACAATTACACCCGCGAAGGCAAATTCACAATGGCAAAACGACTACATGTATTCATAGACAGTGTCTGTCTTAAGCTTAGTAGTGTGTTCACGCACTGGGAATCCTAGGACGGTGGGAATCAGAGGCGGCGAGCAACTTGCATTCAAGCTTCAACTCAAAAATGTCAGCGAGGTCCCTATTGACCAACTTCAAATCTTGGTGGGGCCGTTGCGAGGCTGCCCACAGTGTGATCTCATATTTCACCACATTGTGAACAATTCTCGGCCCATCAATGGCCGAGTCATTCACAGACAGAGTGCTCATGGTATCCTGGCTAGGAGCGAAGCAGAAAGCCTCCGACAGCAGCTTGATTCTGGCCTGAAGTTGCTAGAAATGTCCATGTATCTAGAGAATAACACGCTATTCCAACGTACTGGTGCCAAGATCACCTGCGTGTTCTCAACAGCAGGAGCTATCCAGCGTGAAGTTGGGTTGTCGATTGTACCCACACCTAGACCCGGTCTATCATGTATCGATGCTGCTAGACACAATGACAGTCTATTACTTCAGCTTCGCAATGAGGCAAATATTCCAATTAGACTCGGGCGCCTTGGTACTGATGTTAGTTCTTGGGTTACTGTCCGCGCAGGTGGCTCTAGCTCAAGACTGAGATTCATGCATGGTGGTTCGGCCGCGACTGGCGATGCTCAGTTGCGGTGGTGCATCAATGGCGCAGCCAAAAAAGAATTAGACGGCTTTGGAATTCTGAACTACAATCCATGACTTATGTGCCCTTTCGATGATGAGCGGCCCACTTTCTGTGACCCCGGGCCGCTTCCAGGCCGCTTCCTCCCCGTCAGAGTCGGTTTCTTGTATAGCCGGGCGAGTAATTTGGCGGCATATTACCGGCAATGGTAATTACCGGTAATTACCGGTAATTACCCGGCGCCATAATTCGATACCGGGTAATCCGCGTACAGGTCGCGACGCTGTGCCGCTGCACAGCCGGAGAAGACTATCAAAGCTTCGGAGAAGACTATGGTTCTCCGAGCTGCTGCGTGCGCTATCTGAGCGCCATCGCCGAGTTACATGCTCAAAGCACCGAAATTATCCGCGCCGCGACGAGGAAGACGATGATGTCGTGCAATCCCGCAGCCGGAGGCGTGTGTGGCCGGGAGAGCGCTCTGTGTACGACAGGTGGTTCAATGATAGTCTTGACGGATACTAGGTTAATGCTTGTAGTGCGCGTGCTACTTCGGCACGCCGAGCCCCCTCTGCGCGACGCTCGTCGGCCGCACGCTGCCCGGCGGCGCGACGCTCGACGCGTACGGCGCGAAGCTCGGCACCGTGCAGACGATCCTCAACCTCGCGTCTA